AATTACAATTTTTATTTGCTTTGCTCCTACAATGGGTTTGTGTATTTTCAGCGCCTTTTTTACGTGCATTTTCAGCGACAACAGCTGCCCCGCTTGGGCAAATAAAAATAAAACATTTAAATGCATGACATCGAATGGAAATTGACACATTCAATTTGGCATCAATTTAGCCGGCCAGCTGCAACAAATTGCCAAGAGATTTACAAAGCCAGCAGCTGCCAAGTGCCCCAATGTATCCGTATCCGTATCCGTACCCCTAGTCCGTGTATCCAATCCAGCTAGCCCTGATAGTCCTTTTAGCTGAACTTTGCTTTTGCTGCAATTTAAGTTTTGACTGGCTCGTCTTGATTTCATTTTGAAGTTATTCCCCACCCCTCCACCCCTTACAACTCTCAAATGCAAAAACTTTGCTAATGCAACAGAGCCGAGCAACTTGGGAAAAGTCAATCGGCAAATGCATTTCTGATATCAAACATGGACTGTTCCCAGTTCATAGACCAATCTGCATATCTGCATGCCCCATTCTTATGCCAATTCCGAAAAACTAGAAAGTTGCAATTAAAAGTTCTTTGGATCCGCTTTACAAGCGCATTAATTCTGTGCAGCGCATAACTAATGATTTAATTTCTCCTGCCCACTGGCCCTGGAATCTGGTTTGCTGGGCCTGTTTTGCCATCATTAGCAACTTAAAAATGATTATTTGCAATGCAAATTTAGTCGGGGCAAAAACGGAGTCTAGAGAATATGAAATGTGTGCCATCTGCATGAGAAATGCAGCAATTATTCCAGACTCAAGTGGACGGAGCGAAAATGCTGACTTGAAAATTAAAGCTTAATCTGGAATTGAGCATGAACATAAGACAGAGATGTTGTACAAGACAAAATCCACTGATTTTGCATGCTCCCTTATACCTTTTAGTACCTTTGAGGTGGCAAATATTCACACACTTACGCCAACCGCTCCCCTGATGATCTCCAAGGATAACTTTTCGTATAAGCGTAATAATGACCTCGCCATAATAGACAGCAACTAGACGCAATCCCCACAAAAATTGAAATACAGCTCCCACTGCACACATTTTTCCATGCCCCGGCCGAGTGGTGGGAAACCTGAAGGGGTGGTCCTGGGAAATGTTGGCCAGGATACCGTAGCATTTTTCACTGCCTACACCGCGGCGAGGCGGCCATAATGTCATTTAATTAAACGCCAGAGAGCAGTTGCCTGGCCCCCTGGCTGTTATTTGCTGCTCTGTTACTTGTATATATACATTATTTTTTTTTGGTAACTTGTGCGGGGTCAGCGGCAGCTAAACGGTTAACCAAAGTTAGCGGGAAGCCGGCTTCACATAATTTGGCCAAAAGAGGAGGCGAACAGTGAGGCCAAGGACCAGCAATTTATGTTCATTTGCATAGATATTAAAAATTGTTAGGAAGTCATTAGTAGGCATCAGTCAAATGACGCAGCCTGCATATAAATTAAGCATAATTTTATTAGGCAAACTCCTCGGGAAGGTCAAACCCACTTGACAAATGTCCAAGGACTTCTACCCCCACAAGAAAAAAAAAACGTGTGCTTGTTGTCGTATTAATTATTAGTTTTAATTGCGTTTTGTTTGCCTATCTCTGGGTAGGCTTTACTTTTTTGGTAACCAAATCATCCATTCATCCCCTAACGAAGTAGGGGAAAAAATCTCGTTGATCCCCGAACAAATCTACACACATATATATTGCCCATTTGACTTTGCTATTTTACGCAAGGACGAAGCTATGGCTCGAACAACCCCAAAAATTGTGTGCAATTAAATACTTTAAACCATAATGTATTTTTCACAAGTTGAGCAATGTTGACCATTTGGTTGCGGATGTGGTTGATGCCCCCGTACTCTGGGCCACCACCCCGCACCGCAACCCTGCTGTTCAGTGTAAATTACATGCACAAGAGGCCAACAAAGAAAACTCATTTGTATTCCGAGACCCGAGGACCCCCGGCTTAACCCCATACTGACCACCGCCCGCAAGTCAAAAGCTCAACCACAGGCAATTTTATTATTTCTTCTTGGCCTCTGTTTTCTCTTTTTTTATTTTTTATTTTTTATTTTTGGCTTAAACACATCCACATCCAGAGAGATAACTAATTCGAGTTGCGTCTGCTGTTTGCTTATCAAAATTTTAATTGCGTTTTTTTGTTTCGTCTTTCGCCTTTGAGATTTGCCGACGCGGCTTATCTATTTATTATGTGTTGTGTGGATTTGTTTGGCCAACTGTTCGATCCGGGTTTCCTTTTTGGCCGAATCCGCCTGGGAGACTTGGCGCCAACATAGCCAACTCACGTTCAAACTCGAACTCGAACTCGCACTTCCATTTCCCCACACCCATTTCCGTTTCCGCTCCGATATTAAATGGTGCGCGTAATTAGATTTTAAATTTATTGTTCTGTGTGCTGGTATTTATTTTGTCTGCCTTGGCGTGCATAACAATGCAATGGCTGCAATAAATAAATAAACAAAACGTGAATGTGAATTCAATGGCGCGGTATCTGTGTCTCTGTTTGTGTTGGGATATAGGGATATAGCTGGGCCTCCGGGGAGCAACTTTATAAAACCTACACACAATGAAAATGCATCTTTGTGTGGATTGTAATAAAACATTTTAAAAATGTGGAATCATACGTGCTGATATGTGCTGCTTTACATCGTATGTTGTCATATAAAACTACCTAAAAATTAAAACCATAATAATGAATGCGAGTTTAAATGGATGAAATTATAAAGCAGAAAAGAGTAAAATATAATATCTTACCGTTTTCATTGGCAAGTTCGTACTCCATTATTTCTCCCAGTGCTATGCCAGCTGTGGCGCCGGGCCAAAATATTTCTTCACCAGTAAATTGAATTTGAAAATCGATTATCCGACTGGTGCTGCAAATCTGTCGGCTCAATCATTGGTTAAAGTACACTTCAAACATGAGCAGATTTAAGAGTTAATCGCGAACCATCGGGCTGATAGGTGATAGCAATTCTCGACCCCCTTTGTACTAATTTATGGCTCATCTTTGCCAAGCTTCTGCCGCAAAACTGCGGCCATCCGGCGGTCGATTCATATGGACTGTCATCCAGACCGCAGACAAGTGGCACCACAGACGAGATACTGAGGCACTGGAACACGGAGAGCTGCCACAAGGACGTCCACCGAATGGACAGACATATGGACAGGTGGACATATGGACATATGGACTGGGAAGCCTTTAAATGTGCATACATTTTCGGAATGGCGGCGTGAGTAATGAGTGCTTAATAAGGCGCCATTGGCATACTTTTAAGTTCCGGATGAAACACAGTGCACAGTGCATGTATCATAAATTTACATACTGCAAAAATATTTGTGCTCATTAAATATGCGAAAAATAAATGCGAACGTGCGACTGCAGTGGAAATTGTTGGCTGGTTGGTTTGTTTGTAAATTTCATAAATCACCGCTGTTAAAAACGATGATGATGAGTTCAGTTCTCGGTTCTGGCCGGCGGCAATATCAACTGCCATATCCTGTGCAAAAGGCAAACCGTTTGAGGCGTGGGTAAAGAGGTCCTCGACCATCTGCCTCGCCTTGTTTACACATGTTCAAATCGCAAATGAGCCGTAAAGCGCTGATAATGCAACAAACTGACAATTGACGATGCAACACAATACATCCCTCGGCGGGAGCTTTCTTTTTCCATGATTAAATTAAGTTTAAGCGCCACAAATGCTGGGCAACAGTATTATTAAAGCGAAAGTGGCATTTGGGGATTTTTTATATTTTTATTTATATTATTATGTGCTGATTTCACAACATTTTCAATTCAGATATACTCTTCGAATGCCAGAGATTTTCGTTGCGCACCTGACTTCTGACTTCTGATTTCTGGGCCATCGCCTCAATGTTTTCCCGTCACTCACCGCATGTTATTTTCATTATTTTCTTTGCTTTTCGCAGCGCTGATAGAGTCATGCCATCCTTGAGCTCCTGTCTATATCAGTTGCCCCGTGTCCTGTCGGCGGCATTAAAAAATATGCCAATAACATGGCCATCTCGCTGGCAGCGCAAATGATGCGTTCTGCTTTCAGAGGCGAATCAAAATGAGCTGCCTGCCAGCAGAGCTATCTCATGCATGTCGGCGATGGGCGTGCCAGGATAAAGGGGCGGACCACCGCCCACTTTGGACAATGGCGCGAAATGTGTAACGGAAACCACAGCTGAGTGCACGGCAGTGGATGAGGGATCGAAGGATTGAGTCCAAGTCCGGATTCGAGCCCGAATCCGTGTGCCCGCCGCTTCAGTCGCTTCAGTAATGCGGACAATAAAATTTTAACGTAAATGTTGCGTAATTAAATGTGCTCGCCGCACGGCAGCGTAAAACGAGATTGAGATTGTTTTTCCTTCGCATTGACCGGCAAACAAAAGAGTAAGATATGCCAGTTGGCTGCGGAGACCGACTCGAATCTGTTTAAAGAACGCGCAGCATAACTCACAACTTATTGGGGTTAATGGTAGTGGATGGTGAAGTGAAATTGCGATAATTCGTTGCTTCTTTAAGATTTCCATTTTGTTACATTAAATTCGTGTATAGTTCAAAGCATCATAACAAATCATATTTGATGGGCTTTGATGGCATTTTTCCATTTTTAATTACCCACTTTGAGACAATTAAACCTAAATAATTTGCCTGGGCCACTGGTATTTATTTCACCGCAGCTCCTGGCTGTTGCAATTAAAGTGCTGATTCCCTAATCCTTGCTCGTCCTGACCAGAATGCTGGCATACTTTTCACCGCAGAATGCGCTGTGGTCGCCGAGCAGAAGTTGCCGACGTCGTCATATCGATTAAGCCATCAAAACTTTGACCGCTTATTAATGCGCGTACATCAGTGGCAAAGTGCGGTCATATTTCAAATGGGGCACCCTCCATTCAAGTCCTTAAAGGGCGGCAAATCGGTTTTCGGATCAATTGTTTGGCCGGCCGCGATGAGGGAAGTGAATTCGCTCAACCGCCTTACACGGCAGTTCCTGTCTCTCGTCGTGCTGGTGACCCAGATCTGCGGGGTCACCACCTTTGCGTATAACTCAAAGACGCAATGCTTTCGGCGCTCTAGATCTTTGCGCCTTTACTCCAGCTTAGTTAACGTTGTTGTGGGACTATTCCTAGTTGTTTCCATATGCAAAATGTTGAATAATCCGCAAGTTGTGTGGCCATATGTGGTGGGCAGTGTTGTCATATTGGTGGTAAGAGTACAAGGATTTATGGAAAGTGAAGAGATCATGGCGCTATTAAACCAAATGCTGAGTACAATGAGGCAGGTGAATCTTATGGCCAGACATCCGAATATGTTTCGCCTGAAGCATTTGCTGCTCCTTCTTTTGGCCCTACAGAATCTCTTGAGATCCTTAAATACGATAGTGGGAATAAGTGAGCACTCTGCTGAAGCTTTAGACACTCTGCTCAGTAGCATTCTACTATTAATTATGCTGGCCGTGCTTCTGAGCTTCCTTCTTCAGATCACCATCAATATTTGCCTATTTGTGGTGCTTATTGCCACGTACAGCGAACTTCACCATTGTACCAAAAGAATCTCAAATGATATGGATAAGCTGAGACAGTCTTCCGTCCTTGAAAGTGGCCAATTTATGGTTTTGGCGAGACAACTTCATGAAATCGGAGAAAAATTGATTGGACTGCGTTATAAAGTCTTTCAAATTACACTCAGCATCATACGACATTTTCGATTTCACTGGCTGTGTGCCATCATCTACGGATTAATACCATTCTTTAGTTTTACAGCTAAAGATATAAATGGTTTTTACTTCCTCACCATTTCTGCGTTGAACATAATGTTCCAGTGGACTATTTTCGCGATTCTGTCCCGTGAATCAAGAATCACCAGGAGCTTATGCACTTTTCACTTGACCAATTACCATAAGGAAACTGCTCAAACGGTGAGTAGAATTAATAATAAAGTTGGTCGATTTTAGTAGAGTTATCCTTCAAGTACAGATCGATGAGTTACTCCATCAGGAAATCTGGGAACGCATCACAGTTACCATATACGGCATTACACTGGACACCAAATTGCTCTTCAAACTGCTATCCATCTGTGCCTTTTGTGCGTTTGTTAACCGACTGGAATACTTGCACACCAAGTGTCCTCAATAGATCCTGCCATTTAGCTGTCAAATTAAAGTCGCTGGAGTCCTTGCTCAATTTCGATATTGTCGTTTTGTCTATTATTAGCATTCTGGGTTGTCATGTTATCGCAACTGTTGTGCACCAATGTCAATTGCACAAGTCAAAAACTGCCTCATAGATGACTTTCGAGATACTTTGCCGGCAATTACGTAGCTGTTTCATTGTTCCTCCATTTCGAACAAGCTTCATAATATTTTCACTTTTACGGCAGGCAACATAAAGGACGACAGCTTTGGCAATAGCAACAACATCATCATTATCAACGCCATCAAAGCCCGGAAAATTCCACCTACTGTGCCTCCCCCTCCCCCTCCCCCTCCATCGCCTTTCGTCTCATTTTGTCCCCCTCAATTGTCGTAAAATCATAGGAAAAAAGAAAGGAGCCAACGGAGGCGAAAAGTGTGAGTGCGTAAATTTCACTCTGGACTCGGAGTCGCTCAAGTGTCCTTCCATTCTGTGTCATAAAATTAACGCTTTATATGAACGAAAGCATAAGGCGCTCGATTTTTATCACCGAGTCCAACAAGATGGCCATGGAACATGGAAATGCACACGCAGAAAGGGGCAGCTAAGTACCTTCAAATTGATGGGTGCTCTCACAATTGATACTAATCTTAATGAATTCTGTTACAAGAAATCAAAAGATCTGAATAGATGATTAAATACGAAGCTTGTGAAGTATGTTTTTCTTAGCGCAACCCATTTATCAATGCTATTTTCTAACAGTGCATAAGTAGTTTGGAGTTGAAACTGGGCCCGAAGTAAGTTGGGCCCTAAACGAGGTGGTCCAAAGAGTGTCTAATTATTTACGTGCAATGAAAGTTATGAATTGGGGCCAGGCCAGGCCAACTCGGGATGGGCAAATATACCTCCGAACAGCCCTATGCCTTTGCTGTCTGGATAAATGGTTTCAGTCTGGTTTAGTAGCCAGGCCCTTCTACACATTGTCGTGTTGTGTATGTGAAATAGTTTGTTTCAAGTGCCCTGAAATTTCAATAGCGTCGAGTGTTATAAATTTGACTCAGTATAAAATATAATTTGCAATACACGCAACCATGCTGACGACCCAGCAGACCGAATTCAAGATGATGGACAACGGCACTGAAACGCTGACCGATTCCCGTTCGAGTTCCAGTGCGGATTTGAAAACGCTCTCGGAGATGGATCTTCGTAAGCCCCTCGCGGAGTTCGTTGACTTGCGCCTGAAGCATCCACTAGAGAATACCTGGACCCTTTGGTACCTGGAGAACGATCGCAGCAAGAACTGGGAGGACATGCAGAACGAGATCACTAGCTTCGACATGGTCGAGGACTTCTGGAGTCTTTACAATCACATCAAGCCGCCGTCTGAGATTAGAGTGGGCAGCGATTATTCTTTGTTCAAGAAGGGCATACAGTAAGATTGGCTTGATATACATATATAAATAATGGCTTTAATTGGCCACTTTCATTTCAGGCCCATGTGGGAGGATGATGCCAACAAGTTCGGCGGCCGTTGGGTCATCAATATGGGGCGCGGCTCCAAAGCGGAGCTCGACAAGCTCTGGCTAGATGTGGTAAGTAGCTATTGGAGCTCTGTGTCCATCGCCTGTCATATCTGTTGCAACTGCACAACCTCTTCTCTGCCCACTGACAGCTACTCATTCTGATTGGCGAGGCCTTTGATCACACTGAAGAAGTCTGCGGCGCTGTTATCAACTTGCGCGGCAAGAGCAACAAAATTTGTGAGTCACTGAGAAAAATATTGCTTCAAAATGATTGTATGTGTATTATATGTTAGGTATATACTATTCAGCTTTGAGCATCAACAACAGAAACTAGAAACTTATTTATATGCATTATTTGTTAAATTTGTTAAATAATTCCCCTGATTTCTTCGCTCTTAATTTATTTATTCAAGCTCAACAAAACCGCAAAATACCTGCGTAGTATCCATTTACTTTTAAGCCCGCTTGCACATTGTAGTTTTGTAGTGCACCCAGCTTAAGTAGCCCTGGGCAACGCCATGACAACTGCTAACCCAGCGCCTTTACTCCGCCAGCAATTTGGACCGCCAACGGGCACAACGAGCTGGCCGTCATGGAGATTGGACTCAAGTTACGCGACCTGCTCGTCCTGCCGCCCCACCAGCTGCAGTACCAGCTGCACAAGGACTCCATGTCCAAGCAGGGATCGGTGGTCAAAGCGGTTTATTGCGTGTAAGCTGGCCCGGTTTTGAATGCCGCCCACCACTCCAACCAGACGACCAATCAGCTCTCCACCAACCATCCACATTTCCAAGGCCGCTTATGCCGGTTGCTGTTTCCAGCGCGTGTATCCAAAAAATATTAAAAAAAAATTGTCTTGACACAGAACTGCTTTTATGAATTTGACCATGTTATAAATTGCAAAGAAAGCTGTAAATACATAGTGTTCTACGTATCCGCCGAGCCATCATTAAATTGCCCGGCTTTAAAGTCCCGGGAGCTCTTTTTATGCCGCTAGTTGGAGCCCTTTACGCTCCACGAAATGTTATGCAAACATATGCCGCACCAGAGCGCAAATAAAATGGTTTATATACACTTGCAGTTTGTACTTTTGGCCGGGCCAGCTAGAAGTGCACAGTGACTGCAAAAGATAAACGTCCACTTGGCTCGCTTGGCTGGCCGAGCGAAAAACAAAAGATCCAAAAGGGTCAACAATGGCCACGTTGGATTGTCCGTTTTAGCGAATGGCACAGGCTGAATCTCTGGCATCTCTGGTATCTGGAACTGGCGTCGAGGGCCTCCGAAATGGAGACAATTGAATTTTGATGAAAGGCCGAAAGGCATTAAAATTCATGCTAAGAGCCTCGAGTTGCGCGAAAAGAGAGCTCTTTACAGTCTTGAGCAGCAGTAATTTGCGTGTAACAATATAGTCAGGCATTAAAATATATGCAGTTTTTATAAATATTTCACAGTTTCTTTGCTGAACAAGCAGATTATTTACAACCACTCTGAATTAGCCCAAGTCCTGTCTAATAATAGGGATGTACATACGTCCCCCAAATGCAAACGTTTGTTCAACTCTTGTCTACGCCGGTGACGTAACGTTTCAAGCCAACTCGGGTCACCAGGCCATTCAATCAGCATTGAAATTCCGATGGCAGCGGCACGTGCAGCAGCAACTTCATTATGAGCCACTTTAAGCTGGCAAAACTCATCTCCATCCGCGCAGCCCGTTGACTGCATTTTATGGGCCCAGGTGGCGGCGGCTTACATGGGGAGCTGTTAAACCGAAACCGCATCAAAACCGCACACGTCCCACATGGCATCCAGGTGCCTTCACCTGTAGTTTAGCCCACCTTCGCCAGCTCTGCCATCCACACACCCACTTCGCGTTCCTGCACCTTTGACATATTGCAGGGCTGGAATAGGGATAGCAATGGTTTCGCTGGGCGGAGTGAGGATCCACACACAACACCGCAAACTTTTTGCCTTCAGACGAATATTTACAAATTAGTTGCTCGAAACGTGACATCGAGAATGTTGTTGCACTTGCAATTGGAGTCGCATGTGAAATATCTGGCGTTCTGGCTGTGCTGGTGAAAAACTTTGGCGAGCATGCAACTTAATTAGCACATAAATAAATTATGATCCCATTAGTAGGTCCTTAACACGTATATTTCAACTTGGGTGATTAAAAATAAGCTAAATCAACAATAAAAATTAAAAGCTAGCAAGCAATCAAATTATACCAACAGGATTAAACGGAGATAGATTTTGTTCAAGTTTCGATCAGGTACAAATGTTTTCCCCAGAGAGAAATATGCACGCACAACATATTTGCATGATATACTAAATCGTTTTGATTGGTAGTGGTGTTTTCTTTATGCATACTGATTGTTTTCCTTTTGGTGGTTCTGTTATAAAATGGCCAGATTAAATCTGGAATCGAATGATTTGTATTAGCTCCATTATAGACTGGTATCGCTCTCCACCTCCATGCTGGTCATGCATATATCAACACTCTTCATATAGCCAACGCAGACCACATTGAGCTCCAGCTTTGGTTTTTATGGCCACACCAGCTGGACAAGCACTATGTACCACCCGGAAAATACAACCCAAACTGGCCAACTGGCCAACTGGCCAACGAACCACCCATCCACCAACAAACTCTCCATTTTTGCTCAGCTTTTGTTTATTCTGTGTATTGTTGGAACTCTCGCGCGATTGCTGGTTTCAGCTTTTGGTCGGGGTTTCCTTCGTCTTTTTCTGTTTTGGCAAAACAACACTATACAACATAAAAATAAATTGCACTTCTGACACTTGAATACGGCGTAGGAGTTTGGGGGAGCGAGTGGAGTTGGTTCTGGGAGCGGAGGGCAGATGCTGCTATTTGGGCAGCGACACATGATTAAGTGGAGTTTGCGGTTGGCTTTGTTCTGGGAATACGCATGTAAATCTATTTGGGTATACATTATCGTCGTCCAGTTGAAGCTTAACTTTTATCATATAATAAAATGTAATTTTCCAACTCGTAACTCTGGGGTAATTAGAATTTATAGCGAACTTAATCGCTTTTGGCACGCAGACTAAATGGGATAGGATGTGGATCTCTTCTCCCAGCGTTTATTTCATTAATTTGCTCAAGAAGAGAATTTCATTAGCCGCATAACAGACAGGCATGCAACAATTTTTGTGCAATTCTCGCCAAAAAGGGATAACAACCAATTTCCACTCGTATCAAATAGTAAAACCGCATCAATGCGGAGCATTCGAAATGAAATATTAATTTGCAAAATTCCAAGCCTCCACTTTGCCGGGCTCTTCACAAATTTTTTATTATAAATTAATAAGAATTTATGATGCCTGCAAATATGAAAACGAATCAACGCAAGGCCTCGGATTGTACTTTTGAGTTCACCTTCAAAGGAGGGCCCGAGGAAATGGCAGGAGACGACAGCCAACCGAGATATTTGTCTACAAATATTATTGCTATTCGAA